GGAAACAATAGGATACTATGTAGTAGCAATGGCTCCCTTTACCACTATCCAACCTCTCTGTGTTGTCAGGACCTAGAACTTTTTTGAAACACAAATATATCTCAGAAGGAGAAGAAAAAGGGCACCCCTGTTAGTGACAGTAGCAAAGATATCACAGGACATTTTATTATTTCTGCTCACTCACAGTATTATAAAGTTCTTCCAGTCGAGGAATAGTGAGGAAGTGCTGCATGTTCACTCCATTCTCAATAAGTAGTTTCACAAAGTCCACTCGATCCAGAACCAGCGCATCCATCATAGCCTGCTCCAGGGAATTCACCTGAATTGCAGAATGGAGAATGTGAGACTACCTGAGCACAGAAGAGTTGGTTGGCCAACAACCACAAACATTTTCATTACTTAGGATATTCCCAAATATGTTGATTAATCTGTAAGTGAAAAAGAATTTAGAAAATGACATTTTGCCCATGTGCAAGTCAATACAGGTGGTGGAGTTTTCCAATGAGGTCTTGGGTGAGAGGAGAGTAGTGAAAAAAATCTTTAGCAATACAACTGTAGCTTTCAATAGTTTTGTTTAGTATTTTTAACTAGAGCAGGCACACCATGCTTGACTCATTATGTGAAAAAGAGATTTCCTTGCTGAACATTATAGAAACAAGTCAAAATTTAAGAAAAACACACTGTAAACGTTTAAGAAGAGGTTGACATTATTTACCCTGGTAACTCACTTATGTATCATCCACACAAACTGCTGCCTCACATAGAAAAGACAACATATAATGCTGGAAGACTCAAATCATTCGGGAGGAAGCAGTTCCTCTTCCTTCACCTTAGCTTTGCCTTTGGAAAATGTTGGTCGGGAAGTGTAACAGATCTTCTCTTAATATGGTCTAAGGGGTTAGAACCCAGTAGGAGAGAGGAAAACCCCTTCAGCAGCAATGCCATTGACACATGAACTTTAACTCAGACAACAGAACAACCTAACCTATTGCAACTGGAAAATGAAGCACTTAGAAATGGGGGTGTTTAAACTGCCTTCACTGGATATATAACATGTACAAGGAAGGATGAAGATGTTCACTGGTGTTCTTGTTTCCTTCTGACAAGCAGAGGTAAGAAGATGCAGCAGATAAGCACTGACTTGGGCTGTCGTGGTATGGCTGCATGTGGTGCACATGGGATGAGAGGAGGATTGCTGGTTCAAAGACTGAACAGCATCCCTGCAGAATCTACTGCTGATCTTGTGAGAATGTGCAAACGAGCATTCTATAGAATGCAAAAGTGTATTTTCCATCTCTCTTTGTCCCTTCAGGATGAAAAAATCCCTGAATTATTCAACAGTTTTAATACAAATACTTTTATCTCACCCAGTTCAGGAGTTCAAGCTTTCTTGGGTCTGTTTCTTCTTCTGGCTCTTCTTTTCCTTTTCCTCCCTTTTTCTTCCCTTTTCCTTTCCCTCTGGCTGCTTTGGTCTGAGCTGCTGGAGATTTCTTTTCCTTCTCAGGAGCTGTACCATCAGGAGCTGTAAGGCTTCCTAAAGGCTGCATTTAATAATGCATTAGAAATCAAATTGATCGTACAGTAACTATTTCATTGAATACACTCCTATTGAACTTGCTCCCCAGTCACCACTTCTCAAATGCAGTCAATTAAAAATGATAATTTTCTGAAGTATAAGGACCTTTTTGCCCAGCCACAGCTTTACACTTTTTTTAAAGCTGTTACGTCTAATGTAGCCAGTAACACTGAAAGTCAAAGTAGTGAAGTAGGTAGACTGTGGAGGATTTCTCTTGCAAAAAATCAGTACAAGAGAACTGGGAAGAGACACTATTCAGTTTTGTGACACTTCCGTTTCTTTGCTCTCAGTGAAAGCAATAGTTGTCAAAATAAATAGCAACAAGCAGGATAAGGAGCTGGACAGAAAGAGCTTAACAAGAATGTTGCATGATGCCAAATAGCATCCACACTGCGGAGGCGGAAAGGAGAGGAAAGAGAGCCACTAACAGGTTCATTTACATTCTGCAGACAATATTTCTGTTTATACCTCTTCAGACACATTTACCCTTTGCAACATCCTTCCCGTTTCCAACCTATCTACCCAAGACAGGCAGGCATACATGTAAATAACTTGATACTATTTGTCTGTGATTTGGTGGCTTAACTTGCTCCAGCTAATGCTTAGCTTATATAACCTCCATGAATGTGTAAACTGGATTACAACTGTCCATGCTCTGCACAGAGAACTACAGAACCAAGCCTTTAACAAGGCTTTTTTCTGTGGTTTTGTTCATCTTAAAAAAAAAAAAATCTCTGCCTAGCTACCATGAATCCGTCTGTTAGCCTAGACAAAACTGCAACTGCCAACTTGCAGCACAGGCTAGTCTGAAAGCGATCTTTAGGAATTTGAAATGACAGTGAATTGCAGTTGGCTGACACTATTTCCATAAAATGGTGCAGAGTATGAGTATGAAATAGGCCAAAGCAGTAACTGGCTTCAGTTGCTAGGTGGTACCTCTGAATCTAACCACAATAATATGGAGATTGGAACATTCTCTCCAAATAAATGTTTTATAGTAATAATACTTCATCATCCTTAGGATGATTAAATTCTCTCTGTATAAGCATTTTAATGAACCTTGAATATTGGAAACGTCACATTACTATAAGTGAAGGAATAAAACAGCATATGCAGCAACATTTGTTTAAATATAATTATGCAGGCTTCCGAATGAAATAAATCTCATCATTCTGTATAGCATGCATATGAATAGTGTTCCTTTGAGTGTCATTTTATTGCATAGTTTCAGGAAAGACAACTAATTAAAAAATATATTCTTGCACTTCATTCTTACTGCCTCTTTTAGGCTAGTCTCCTCTGAGAGACAGATGACACTTTATAGTGATTCAACACCAGATGGTTCACACAATAAAGCAAAAATCATCAATACAGTGAGACATGAAGTAGCTTAAATAGAGGACTTCAGTTACACCGATGAACAAAGGCACTGCAGTGATTCACCATTGACTTGAACTGGTGCAGCATCAAACTCCAATAATTTGAGAAAGAAAATCCCATTTCAGAACCTAAAGCTTTACTGAAGATCTGCTGCTTAGTTCATTTAGAAGCACAGCTCTGCCCACCAGAGGCCTGTTTTCTGCAATGGTTTCTTCTGGTCATCAGGATTTTGCTCCATTAATCCAAATAGAGATTTTCACAGCTTTTTAATAAAGTGAACAACACAATTCCTTCTAAGCAACCCTGTGAATTTCTTGCTCCGTACTTTAATAGGTAGATGGGGACCTTCCCAACTGTTAGCACATGTCAATGACGCAGTCAGCCAGAAGTCTAGGCAATGCTAGTGCATGACACAAGTTCACTGGTGGTGACCAGGACCGCTGTTGTCCAGCTACATGTAAGGCCACGGATTGTTTCCAGTAAACACCTTTTTTTTTTTTTTTTTTTTTTTTCCCCTGCCTTCCAATCCCACAAGGAATCTTAAATAAGGTTATTTTTCTGCTTGTCACAAAATTGCTTTTCTTTCTTTCACAGAGTTTAAATCATTGCTAAATATTTGCAAATGGCAGCATAAGGAAATTTCAAAACAAATAGGTCATTCTTAATTAATGAGATACCCTACATCAGTTCAGCATAAAACAAAATTCAATACTGTTTCTTCTGCCAACAAAATCCAAGGTGTGAATATTCCACCACTTATTTTAAATTGTTAGCAAACCATATGACTAGGAAAACTTTGTCATACTGGCCAGTGGTGTCCGAAGACAAAGATTTGGCTGCGTGCAATGTCTACACGATTCCAGGCCAAAGCCAAGCTGAGCTGGTCTGGAGCAGATGCATTGGTACCTAAAGAGAAACACACAGATATTAGTATTTCATGCATGATGAAACAAGATTGGACAACCTTCTGTAACTCAGTTCTCTAAGAACTAGAAAACAGCAAGCCTGACTCCATCTCATACTACCATTACAATAATTCTACCACAAAGCAGTGGATTCATCAAATCAATTTATAGCATTTTTCATTTAACCCCATAATCCTAATTTCAAAAGGATTAACCAGTTTCTCTCCTTTTTTTTTCCTTAAAGCTCCCACATCGGCTTTATATTCTGATGCTAAAGATAGATATTTAACTATTCTAAAAGACTCCTCCTCTCAGCTCCTCTGGCTAATGCTGCTTTCAGGTGAGGAAAGCCACACAAAACTTTCAATCTCAATTTTATGCTTCAAGCTAATCTGAACCTTGAGCCAAGAATGTTTGGGTTACTTGTTAAAATCCAAATGAATAAATCAAAGACTTAAACCTCAAAAGTGAACCTCAGACAGTGTATAGAATTGTCTTCTTGGGATCAATTTGTGCATCCTTCCTAATTGCTTGCAAAACCCACCTTTGAGGAGAGCAGTTAAGATAGACATCTCAATGTCCTGTTGCCCTTCAGACCCCATGCGGAACACAGTAATCTAAAAGATAGCATAAAACCAAACACATAAAATTACAACACATGAAAGACAGAGACCAAACATGTAGATAGAAAAAAGAGCAGAATAGGGAAGCTTTATTATTTTCTAGGACTTGAGATTTTTCAAAAAGTGCAGTTCCACTGAATTTTTCTTTGAAATTTAATTTTCACAAAAGCACTTAATTAAACTATTTCAATAAAGTTATCCTAAAATATCCCAGCATTGGTAAACATGACAAGCTTGACGAAATTTTTCACCAACCCCATGAATTTTGAAAAGTGGTGACAAAACTGCCGTGCCAAACTGATTGTTTCCTGACAGTTCTATTACTTTCCAGTAGTAATGGAAGTGCCAGCTTGGAAATGGAAATGCTAGTAACCCAAGATAACTATCATAGCATTAATTTTATTGACGATAACACTCATTAGTTGCAGGATATGCTACGTATTGACAACCAAAAAAGCAGTCGACTAACAAAGAAAGGCAATTATTTCAAGTCATATTTGCTTACAATTCATTTTAAAAATAGTAATTCATATGAAGCTTAGCTATTGAACTACATTTTAAAAGATTAATAATTCAAAAGCAGCATAGCCTAATATTCTATGTTAATTAATACTGAATGTAGACAAAAAAAATAACAAATTCTTCATTTTCCAAAAGCAGCTCTTCACAGCAGATGCTAGCATTAAGTACTGGGAATAGCAATTTTCTCAACCATTAGAATAGATTTTGCATGAATGCAAATGACACTAGAAAAGAGAAGAACTAAAGGAAAAATCTTAGTAATTAACCAGAAAGCAGACAAAATTATCAACAAATGCAAATCATAAGCCTGCTTAGGCTGCACAGTCAGTGTCTGAATTTTGCTGAGTAAATCAGGCCTGCTCTGATGCGCATTTTAAATTCAAAGCAGTTTGACTAAGGCAGCTGTGGGCTCTCTTTTCTCAAGCAATTCTTCTAGGAGGGCTATTAGTCAGCTTATCATAGTCATGCTTATTACCAACTTGCTTCTGATGATGGCGTATGCATGGAACTGATCTTGGCACCATACAAATGTAGATGTATCAACAGTACATTTACATTACCCAGACAATCTAGAGACTTCACATTTGGAGCCCTTAAGCAAGATTTTGTATAATCAGCTGGGCATGCTACTAATACTTCTGAATGGGTAAGAAAAAAAGCACAGATGGGTGTCTATTTGCAGTACAAGCTGCATTACTAGAAAATACAGCATTTGCCATATTCTGTTCCAAGTGGCATTTGCAGCTGGATTAATCCTTAGAGAATTTAGTTCTGGCAAAAGTATTTAAATATATGTTGCTAAAAGTTATTCAAAATTCCATAACCTGGCTTTTATGAGCCCAAGAACTAAGTAGTATCAAAATCTGATCAAAAATCGAGGAACAGAGATAAAAATAAAACGGACCTTCTCTTCTTGCAGAAATCCCTCCCACGCTAAAACCAATTCACCATCAGATGTAATGAACGTTGGAGAGAAAAGCATTGGAGAGAATGGAGGAAGAAGGGAAACTCAGTTAGCAAATAAGCCTTCTATGATACTATATAGGAGGTGGGAAATGACTTGTTAGCGTTTAAGTATTTCATTATTTTGAAATGTATACATATGTAAGCAAGAACTTCCTTGGCAGCCGAAATGAACATTACAAAGAAAAGTCCGAGGCATGAGCCAATGTCCAACATAATCTCTGGAAAAAGGCCAGCTTTTTGGAGAGTGTGGAGAATACGAGACTGGTAGAAAGTCTGCAGACAACCTGGCAATTACTTGACACAGATTCCTACCCCATCCTATGTCATTTCAATTGTCATAGGACACCTTCCTGAAAGGTGTTGAGAATATCTTCGTAGATTAATCCTGGGAGCCACTGATCATGTATTTTCACATGTTCCCTCAGACAAAAATCCCCTAACGTCACTGAGTATTTTGTACAAGCTTTTACCTCGGAGAGGCTAGGCTCTTCTGGGCATGTCTCTGGCAGAGAATAGACAACAGTACTGTTGGCATTATACTTTAAGAAGTAATTTTACTTCACATTTGAAAAATTTGAAAACCAGTTCTAGAAGTCCAAATTTCCAAAGCAGGAGAAAGAAACCATAGCAAACTTCTTCATAACATAAACTTCCTTTATGTTCCAAATTCTTTGCTAGCCACTTTTTTACTGATGTGAGACTTAAAGGGAGTTGGAAAGTATAATAGGACAACTCAGAGAATCAGAGTGCATTCAGTGGAATGATGAACTGGATTTCTGGAGGTTTTTTGTGCTCCTTTTTAGCCCTTGACTAGAACATCAGGGATAATTCTAATCTGATAAAAGTGATCTCCTCATTTACTTTAATTGCTTAAGAGTATTGTAAAAATAATGCCTTGATTGGTACTTTGATCATTGGTGGCAGCTCGTATAAAAAGAGGACTAGCACAAAGCTTGATGTACAGATTTGAAGAAGTTTCTTTGCATTATGATTAGTACCACTGTGCTGAGTTCAGTTCTGTACACTATTACACTAAGTCGGGATCAAGTGGTATCTTTCTTATCTTAGCCCTTCACTCACTAATAATACGAAGTCGATACGAAACCACACAACAGAAAAAGACAGAATCCGAGGCATGCCTGTGCATGGTAGTGACAGCCCTAGCAAAAATGTTGGCACCATTCATGTGCTGTGATCTCTGTGTGTAAATTGGGTCAAATTTTAGACAATTCGATTCAGATCTTACTTGCATAAAGGCTGTTACTTAAGAATCAATGGCACAAGTACAAAACTAACATACAGGGGCTGCTCCCCTTTTTCACAATGCACCTGATCTCATGCTCAAACTAAACCACTGCACCTATTCTGGAGTAAATATGTCAGGATTTAGGCTTCAACAACTAAAAGTAACATTCTATTCATTTTCTTTGCTCTGGGTCTGAGACTGGAATTGCAAACATTGACAGCCACTACATGCAGCATTGCCGTGGCAAGTAACAAGCAAATACTCCAGGGAAAAGTTTTTTCCCCCTTCCATCATACATCAGGATTTATTATTTCTCATCGAACAACTAAACAATTACTTCTAGAAATCAAAAGAATACTCCCTGCTGAAAAGAGTAAGAACTGTAAGGAATGCTACATTCAGTTTATTGTTTATTTAAACTTTTAAGAAAAAAGTTTCACATCATCTGTTGGAGATAGTATTAAGCTTGGGAAGATCAGAGTTTAGAGTTTTTCTCCAAGCCGACCCAAGACAGACAATGTGGGCTCTGTGGAACGAAAACATACTTAGTTTTACAGGAGCTTGAAACACTTTTTCTAAGAACATAGAAAAAAATTCCCTCTTTTCTCAGCTTCACGAGAAAATTTAATCTGTCATACAAATAGTTTCTTTACAGCTGCTCCTGTTATATGTGTCACTTCCTTAGTGATCCAGTTAGGCATCCTGAAGAATGAAACATTTGATGCTTAAACTCAGTAGCAGTTTGGTTGTCTCCTACACACAGTCTGAGGAGAAGGCCGTCGTAGTTCTCTCTTTTTTCTATCTAATAGAAATACGCAACTTTAGCAAAAAATAAAAATATCAGCCATACCAGTTCCAGCTGTTAATAAAAAACCCCACAAAAATCCATCAGACTGTTCATCTGCTATTAAAAGAGCTGCTTAGGATTTTATGAAAGAATGAGGTGGACTTATACAAGGGACTCAAGGAAGAGGTCATATTTACAAAAATTCGCTAAGACAATTAGTCAAAGGAAAACACTCAAAGATTCATTTTGCCTGCAAAGGCATAGTAAATGCAATTTCAAGACACCGTTCACAGGTGACAGACACGAATGTTACAGATTTTCTTCTCCTGAGCACAGTTTTCTCTGCAGCTGGGATACGGCAGACAGGTAGGAACCTGACGGAGAGGTAGATACATAGAACAGGCCTGCAACACGCCAGGATCAAACAAGGCTGGGATCTTCAAGAACACTTAAAGTTCCAATTTAATTTGAAAGACCTGAATAGCCCATTTTACTGGAATAAAATGCTGTTAAAAAGTAACTATATCAGAATATCAAAACTGTACTGATGCACTCTCTAAGAGCTTATTTCTCTTAGGAACCCTTTCTTCAATTATCTTTCCTCTACTTTCTGCAGTTGATCCTGGTTTTATTGCATTTATCTCAGTGTCTTAGTCTGCCTTGCAGAAGTCTGTGAAAAAAAGACTATCAACTTACACAGGAGAAGAATCTGAAGTTGGTTTTAGAGGCTTTCCAGAAGTCAAAATCTGTTTCTTGGCCTATGCTTATGAATGAATGATTGTGTACATTTATGGACTTACAGGAAAAGAAAAAAAAAAAGGGTAAACTGTAACCCTGGGGGAATGACACTTGAAAGTACTCTGTAAAGTTTGGTCACAGAAATTATCTTTCTGAACTACTTATAGGACACTTACAAGTTCTTTTTTTTTCATGCACTCCATAAGAATGATGAACAGCTGATGAGCTTGATTCCTGTTGTAGTTAAAGGTTTTCTGGATGGTAACTAGAAGCTGGTCCCTAAGGGATTCACTTATTATCCTAAATGAAAAATGAGACATAAAAGATGACATTGAGTGAGTTAACATATTAGTCAGAAGGCCTGCTGTTTGAGAAACAATTTTTCATCCACCAGTGCAATGACTTAATTTTGAAAATAAATGAAAACATGCAGCATCTTTGTGTTCAGTACATGTAAGGAGTTCATGAAGAGTTAACCATAATCCTATGAGCTGATAGGAAGGATGAATGAGAAAGAAAAAAAAAGAAGGAAGGTTTGATCTAAGCTAAGAGGCTTGGTCAACAGAAAGGAGAAGAAAGCTGCTGAATCATAAACACTGTTGGTAGGATTAAATCTGTACTATGTGTAAACATCAAAAAAATCCAGCATCAGAGCTGCTCTCCCAATTCAGCAAATAACATGCACTGCTTGACAATACTAGTTGTCTGTGTGCCATACCCTAACCAAGACAAGATACTAGGTTTTTGACTGAATCTGGCTACTAAAAATAAAATTCTGATATTAATAATGACAATGGGGAATGTATGTTACTTGACTGGGAGAAGCAATATTTTAAATAAAAAATGTGATACTCCGCTTCCATTGGAGTATTTGTCAGGACAG